TTTCGATCATGGTGGTCACATTAAAAACGAACTTTCTTATGAAAGTTTCATAATGAAACTCATAGTGATTTTACCCATTTTCAATAAGCTTCAGTGGTTCCGGCTCCGGTGGTGAGCCACCAACTCTCTCTGCTTTGCATTCATCCACAAAGTAACCGAGACCGTCTGTTGTGTCAATGACTGAAAATTTTTTTTTGAAAACTGAAAATAATGTGCTCTAAAATCACTTGTCCATTTGAGTTCCACTTCTTCACCAAGCGGTACCGTAGTAACAGCATGACCATTTCTGAGAATTTGCATTTCAATACGAGTAGATGTCACTTCGTTGCCTCCTTCGCTAGTGATGGTTGTCGAACTGCAAAAACAAATTCTTTCGCTCATAAAAAAGTTTGAGATACCGTAACCGACCCCTTTTCCTTCTCAATCTCTGTATAATCGCACGATACATTGAACATTCTATCCGTGGAGGTTACCAATGAGGGTGAACCCATGTCATTTTTCTGGACGATGACAGAAAATGACCACATCGATGGTGCCTGAATCCCTGAGATGCTGGCAAGAATATGAGGAATCGTTCGGAAGCAAAGATGGAAATGGAAGCTATGTAAAAGATAAATATTGTGATTTGAAAAAAATTTTGAAATAGCAGTTGCACTTGGAATCAATTTCAAAAATGAAAGACAACAACAAAAAATTAGTAATATACTAAAAGAGATTGGAATACTTATGCACCTTGGGAAATAAAGATTATAGAGTAAAGGTAACAGAATTAGAATGGATAACTCTGGATTACTTTTCTTGGAAGATAGATAAAGAAAAAGTGGAATTAGTGGAATGACTTGGTATGTTGAGTGTAAGAGAACACAACTATATGAAAGCATAGAACAAATGTCTTTTAAATGAGAAAGATAACTAAAGAGCGCACAAGGCGTCAAATGCAGGTGAAAATCGAATAAGTATCCTGAATTACGAAAGCAAAGGATGGAAAAAGTTTGGTAACGATTCATAGTATCATTGAGCTTGCTATACTCACAATTTCCGTTCCTGGACATTTTGGATTTGGATCATCGTTTGTGGGAAAAGGTATGTTTAGAAATGATTCTGTCGCGTTCGAAAACTCCATACGGCAAGTGGCAAAATGATCCTAAATATCATTTTGAAGTAGAACATAAAAAAATGAGCCGTTCGCATTTAACAAAAATGCCGATAGTCTTCACAATTTCCCCGAAATTCCATGACAAGCATATTCAAAGGTTTTTTAGCGTTAGGATCCCAAAACCACGTTTACAAAAAATTTCAAATACCTATCTCGTTTATCACTTGAAAGCACTACCTTGATGTAGATTGATCCTGAGGTAGGACTGGCAAATTCGACATTTACATTTATTCCTGACATGTGACACACCGAACTTAGTCCTAAAATGGGAAAATTAGGCAAATTTCGGCATTCTCACCAACACAAAATCTATGCGATTCTTTCGCTGATTAAAACACTTTTTGGTTTCTAAAAATTATTTGAGGAAAAACTGACGAGCTTTAACTGTACTGGGCGATCGCTGTGCATTCTCAAACTCAGCAATGTCGTCAATCACAGTGCCTTCGGCTTCGGTCTCTTTCTGACCAACGATGTTGGATGTGGTAGTGACATCGTCTTCATCCGGTGGAGTCGAGGTCATTATGTACTCCACTGCCTTCGAAACTTCTTCTTCATCGGCTCGAACAAGGGAAGTCTGGAGCAGCACACAAGTTTACTTACCCATTCTCAGATCTGCCGGGGTAATTACTTACCACCCTATCATCCTCATTCGTGTCTATGGCATTCGACTGTGGGATGGTTGTTACGCCTTCCACGGCACTTCGTTTAGCAGCAGGTACAGGGTCACAAACTTTGTCAAAATAATCCGTATTTTCAGCCGGGACAAACAATTCTGGGTTTGAGAATTGTGAGGTTTCAGAGAGGGAGCAAAGGTCCTAAACAAAAGACCTTTTGAATAAAATATGATATGGTCATCCAGATTGTACTTGTACTGCACACTACGCGCGCTATTCCACGACTTCTTTTCACACAAATCGCACTTTCTAAATACGCCTCATGCTTTCTTGATTTTTAAACTTGAATGCGTATGAAGTATTGATAATGATTTCAAAAACTGATTGGTTCCAAGGGTTTTGTTAACGATTACAACTTGAGAAACGTGAGGTATGGTGCGAGGTGTGCAGCCTCACACAGTAAATTACAAGTTATCCGGCTATAAATATGCTAACTTTCCCACCCCAAAAATCGTGTTCATACTTTCTTCAGTTTCTCATGAATGGATATAAACTGTTCAAATACATGTCTGTTTATAACTTGGCAGAGGGTTACAAGGGTTTTGCTGAGTTTGCAACTTAGAAGTTGTGGAATACAGCGCGTGTTGTGCAACTACACATCAAGTTAGAAATGTTCGGCTATACGTAAACTACTGTTTCAAGTGTGGTATCAGTACAGTATTACTTATCAGAAGTTACATGATTTTGCACATCCTACATAACTCCCCCTCCCCCTCCCCGTTATTCCA